CCCGCCCGCCCGCCGGCTGCGCCCCAGCGGAGCATGCACTGACTGGCTGCCTCGGCTCCGAGCCTTCCCAGGCGCCGGGGTGCGCGTTGCATGGTGCGGGGATACACGGTCTCGATAATAAATGATAGAGGATACAATGACTTTGCTGTCTCTGCTGGGTCGGATCATGCGTTACTTCTTGCTTAGACCGGAGACCCTGTTCTTACTGTGCATCAGCCTGGCCCTGTGGAGTTATTTCTTCCACACGGATGAGGTGAAAACCATTGTTAAGTCCAGCAGGGATGCGGTGAAGATGGTGAAGGGCAAGGTGGCCGAGATCATGCAGAATGACAGGCTCGGGGGGCTAGACGTGCTGGACGCAGAGTTCTCCAAGACCTGGGAGTTCAAGAGCCACAACGTGGCTGTCTACTCCATCCAAGGCCGGAGGGATCACATGGAGGACAGGTTCGAAGTAATCACTGACCTGGTGAACAAGACTCACCCCTCCATCTTCGGGATATTTGATGGGCACGGAGGAGAGGCAAGTGCTCAGCTGGAAAAAAAAAAAAAGGGGGGGTGGGGTGGTGGAGGGGGAGGATGGTTACAGGGCAGGGAATGGACGTGTTCTGCCCCACCGGGTTTAACGTGGTTATCTTGAGACATTGTTTGGGGGGGGGTCCTTTCTTCTTGGCGTGGGGGAGGGAGTCTCTAAGTAGGGATTGAGCAATACTCCATTCCCTTTATCTCTCATTACCCCTTCCACAATCAGCGCGGTATAAATGTGTTTATACCCCCTCTGCCCTTTACAGTAGTAAAGGTTTAATTGAAGTAAAAGCTGTTGGAGGTGGCTCTTACGTGCGTGGAATAACGATGATGAGCAGAAACTCCCTGGAGGCATCTTTTGTTACAGCGAAGTGTGGTGTGATCCGATTTTGGCAGAGGGCTGGTCTCCCGCCCCTGTCAGGAGCTGTGCTCATCGGCAGTGGTTAGAGAGGAGTCCTCTTAAAGGCAGGCGTGTGCGTAGCGGTAAAGCTGGTGTGCCTGAAATGTGTCTTCGCAGTAATTTGCTCTCAAGTGAGGACCAGCGAGTCACTGAGAATGAGTATCATGTTTGTGAATTGCATGTAGTTTTTAAGTCATTACAACTGTGCTGTCATACTTGTCCCTTCCCTAGTGGAAAGCCAGGAAAACTGTCATTTTGAAACTTTCTGGTGTTTAACCTCTTGCCTTTTTAAGGCAGGGTGATTTCCTTTAGGTTGTGCTATGTAATTAGTATTACAGCTTGATGGGATGCTTCATTTATTACGGATGACAAATGCTGAAACTTCCTCTTTCTTTAGGTTTGTGGTGCTGCCACGTAGCTTTTAATATAGCACAAAGCACATGTTTCATAACTGTGTAAAAGGACAAAGAATTTGTCCTTGTGTGACAAATTAGCTCTAGCCAACCATTGTGCTGGGTATGAGATCACCTGATGGGTTTTGCTGGGATGATGGAAGCTGGAGAGAAGTGTTCAAGTTTTTCATGTAAGTGCTCCTGCTGAGGAGGGGTAAGGCAGCAAGAGAGCTTGGGTGCTGTTCCAGCTGCTTTCACAAATCAAGTAGTCAAAAGTCTGTCCCAGAAAAGCATTGGCAGTGACCGGACACTAATGGAGCACAAGGATGGCAGCTGCTGCCCCTCTAAACCTGTAAGTGCTGCCTGAAAAACCCAGGCCTCAGGCACATAATCAAAAAGCTGCTCTTCTGCCTGCATGGTTGTAGAGGGAGTCACTCGCCTGTGCTACTGCTGTCTCACAGTGTCTAGCATTTTGCCCCCTTTAAAAGAATGCAAACACTTGGGATAATGAAAATTGTCAGCCTCGTAAAAAATTCTGGTCGTGATTGAACCCTGTTTTCCTCTTTAAGTCTGAATTCAGTTGGGGCGCAGCTGTGCCAACTCTTACTGGCGTACTGGTGCCAGTTCACTGTCCCTTGGCCTTCGAGGAATAAAGGTAGAAATGTAAATATACATCACAAGCTGGGACCTCCTTCTGAAGGGATATTAGCTCTAATTGGTGTATTTGGTACATTTCTTGTTTTCCCAGGCTTTGGATGGAAGGTGCCTGTGCTCTGTCTTCTGCTGCCTTCCCCTTTGTTTAAACTGACATGTTTCCTTGTCTGAACTGATCAGCCAAAACAAGTTTGCAGGAATATGTGTGTCATGTTTTTAAACAGTATTCTGAGATTGCTATGGATAGACGGATGACATACAGGTTTAGACTTTGGCACTGTGAAAGGGGGATCTTATTTCTTTCTTTAATTTTATATCATATATGTATCTGGCCCTACACTTGGTTGCAAGCTCAGTATATTAGTCAACCCCAAAACTAACAGAGAGAAGAATAGCTACGTGACTTGAATGTGCCCTGTGTATTTGTTTCTTTGTTTGTTTTGTTGTGGATCTTGGAATTACATCCGTAAGAGATATTAATGATAGCACTTGATCTGTGGAAAGCTCATTTGTCTTTTGAATTCTGATTCCTCAGAACTTGCTTTAATTGATTCACTGACAAAGTATGAGCCTTTTATGTGAGGCCTGACATTTTGAAAGGTTTAGCAGTTCTCTCTCCAAATCTTACTAAAGTTAATATTTTTTACAATTTTATGTATTTAGTATCTCTTTGTTATCTTTCTAGTAAAATCCCCAGATATTCTTAGTGGCCTTTACTCCTATGAAAATACATACCTAATCATAGAGGACATAACTAGTTTTTAGCTTTAGATTTTATGTAAAACTGATCAGAAGAGCATGAACTATGTGCTGTGCAAAGAGCAAAAAATAAATTACAAAAAATAGGTTTTAATCTAAGCAGGTTTTGTAGTTGTGAGTAGAAAAGAGGGGAGGGAAATGAAATAGCAAAAATTAATGCTCTTATTTAATCCATGTAAATAATAGTAAATTTCAGGTCTCTATCTGAATTGATTTTCTGCATGTCTTATTTTATATCTTTGTTTGTTTATTTTCAAAAGATAAATGACTATGTCTTATTTTATTTATTTGTTTGTTTGTTTATTTTCAAAAGATAAATGACTCTGTGGAACACTTTACCTACATGTGTAGCAAAGCCTTTGTAAAGATTAAATTTTCTGTGTGGGCTCCTGTTACATTTCTTTACGTGTATTTAAAGAACAAAGAACTGCTAATCTCTGCGTTACATATGAAACAAACTGTTCTATATGGGGAAAAGCTCTTTTTCCAAACGGACAATACCACAAATGAGATGCTAGATTAATTCTTTCCAGCTATGTACAAGGGAGTGTGTCTCCTTTAATGACTTCCTGCCATATCATGTTGAAGTGGAAGGATAGAGAAGCATGATTCAAGTAATATGAATTACTGTGTAGTGCTAATTTGCGAAGATTTCTGGGTTTTTCCTAAATCTTGCCAACAGTTTGCATAAATTCTACTTTTCGATTATGCTATTTCCTCTTCCATCTTACAATTTTAGCCTGAGTAGGTTGGCAGCCATTTACTTGTGACTGGCCATTTATTTTGTGACTGGCTTGATGAGAAAGCAATAAAATTTTGTGACTGGCTTGATGAGAAAGCAATATGCAAAAATAACTATTAATGCTCAGTGTTACAACTAAGAATCTGGTATGCTGCAACAATTACTTGTTGAAGACAATAATACTTCAGAGATAAAACTTGATACTTGGTGTGTAGTACAGTCTTCCTTTGATTAAAAAATTAGTTTGAAAATTAAAAAAATTCCATCTTGAAGATTGAAGAATAATAATAATAATAGTGGTGGTGATGGAGAACAGGTAGAGGGCAAAGAACTAGACTTAGAAAGAATGAAGAAAAGTTTCTGTCTGTTAAAAAATTAGTTTGAAAATTCAAAAAATTCCATCTTGAAGATTGAATAATAATAATAATAATAATGATGATGGTGGTGGTGATGATGATGGTGATACAGAACAGGTAGAGGGCAAAGAACTAGATAGAAAGAATGAAGAAAAGTTTCTGTCTGTTGTCTCACTGAATGACTTTGGCCAGAGGAGTCTTCAAGGTGATCGAACATTCAACTTAGTCAAAGAAGAAGAAAATATTTATTTGTTCTCTCATCAGCTTCTTTATAGGGCTTAAAGACAGCTCGAGTGCCTTTTTTGTTTTTTCCTCCCCCTTCTTCCTTTCTTTAGAAGTTTTGGGGCTGTCTAGACTGGAAGATTAAGAAGTGGCAAACTACGTAAAGCATAAAATAACAAACAATGAGCTTGAAAGCTGAGCAATGGAAAGGATGGATGCTTAATCAAAATGATTTATCTATTTTAACTAGCATTTACTAAGGGGTTCTTTTCTCAAATATTTAAGGTTTAAGCTCTCAGTTTAATGAGATCGCAGTATTAGACAAGAACAAAGTAGCTCAGCTACCAGCTGCAGTTTTATGGTTATGGCTCTGTCACATATCATTGTTTTTGCCTAACCCTATCAGGTGAAGGCTTTAAAAATAATTGTAGCAATAGATAGTACCTTATATCCTGCCTTTGCTTGTTTGCAGTCGTAAACTCATGTGGATAACGACGGTGTGAAATTAAAGTTCAGTAACTGTCTCATAAAAAATGCCTTGCTCTTTTTATTTCTCCTAGCCTCCTTAAATAGGAACATGGCAAAGCTTGTTCCTTGGGATCTGCAGATGTGGATAAGAGCATTTTGCCCGATATAATTGGTTTTTCAAGTTGTTGACTTAGTGTTGCAGTATGTGAAATACACCTTTTTTATTTTTATTTGTAGTGTAGGGAAAAATTGGGGAGTTTAAACGTGAAAGGAGGGAATTTGCTGTATAAATGGCTCACATTTGTAATCGCATACAAAATCACTTGATACTTTGTGCGCCACAGGACCTTGAAATCAGTAGCTGGAACTGTTGGCAGAAGTCTCTGGTTACTGATTAACTTACAAAGACAAAAAAAAGGGCAAGGTCAGAAGATAATGGTGAGAGTCCTACCTAGCGTTGTCTGAGACTATGGAAAGGTGAATGCTGGGGTAAGGCCTGGAGAAAGAGGGCACCCTGCCAGCTGTGTTTAAATGAGCCTGCTGTGCATTTAAAATATAGGTACTTGAAAGCATGATTAATTCCTCCCTGATTCATTGGGGTGAACTCGCTGTCATCTTCAGGCCCAACACAACAAACAAGTTGCCACAGGATTAGCTTGGGAAGGGACCTTCTGCAATGCTGTGTGCCAGGTAGTAGCTCCTGTGCATATTCTCCACCTTTAACAAAAATGAGATGACTTAGTCCTCAGTGAAGTTCAATAGGTAAACTACCATAAGTTTACCAAATGTGAGGATATCAGCAGAGGAGCAACAAATCCTACTGTCAGAACAGGACATGGCATCTCTACACTTCTGTTCGTGCCATTTAACGTGATTTTTTACCCCTTCATGAATTGATGACCTGAGCTCACCTGGGTGTAGGCTGTGCTATGATGATGAGCATCTTTTCAGGCATTGACAGGGGGAAATTCATTCCATTTAATTGGAGGTGATAGTTGACAGTTG